TTAAAAGGGCCAGTGTATCGAACGAGAACTTTGGGGCGGTACTCGGGCAAAAGTCCTCAACGGACATGTTCAAATTACTGGACAAATTAAGCCATTTCAGCCTGTGGAATAAAAATCTTCTAGTCCACAATGCCACATAAACTTTTCAGATTTGACGAATTTGGAGGAGGTTTTGTGTTTGGCAAAAACTCGTACTCATCAAGAATTTTCCTCCTTCATCAACGTGAAGTGGCTAAATTTCATTAATTTTCAGAATTTGAATATTGGTTAGAAAGAACCTGCCGGAAAACTTCCAAATCTGCTTTCAGACTGAAAATTCTTCCAAATTGAAGAATGTTAATCAGTTACTCAAATAAAAGCTGAAATTTCAACGTGTTCCCTACTAGTATAATGGATAAGCTGGTCCAGGGTCAGAAACAATCAATTAAAGGACGAATTCACGATGAAAAGCAACCCATTTCAAATTAACCTAGGGATGGTGAGTGGTACACGAAAGAAGGAAGAACCATGAGAAACGGCCCAGAACCCGAGAAATGGTACCCCTTCCTTGCCCGTTGATTCGAGCATTGATGCGACTCTCATCGCTGTGCCCTCTTCAACACTACGCTCTCTCAGCTATCTAATCACTCGCCACGTAGGTGGGCGGAGATCGCCGGACCCGCCAGCTTTGAGGCATGATAGGTCGCCGAGGTCAAATTTTTCCATGCGAATTGCGCGTCAGTTCGCACCCTCAGGAGGTCCGTGGGTCCCTCAACTAGGTCAGTTTCCCTTTCTTCGACCTTCATTCTAATCGTGAATTCCTCCTTTAATACACAGCTGGCCAATATTTTCATAAGTAGTTCATGGTGTTATCCCATTCATTCGTATAATTCATTGTTAATGATCTTATTTAACTACTTCTGCTTGTTGAACGACTTTTACGGTGGACGGTGTTGTTATGGGAGTCAGGAGGCTTGTTTTTTTAAGAAAGGTTGCTAGTCGGCAACCTTTCCATATTTCGGCTTGTGAAGGAGTCAATGGGTGGGGGGAGGGGAGGGGGGGGGGAAGAGGGGGTCCTATTCCAGAATTTCCTCCATGCCTCGCTTGACCCTGCTACGGCCGATGTCAGACTTTGGCAAGCGTCCGCGATCGCGTCGCTTACTGCGAATCAAGCCATTTGCTGTACGCGGCGCGGCCGGCGAATCGCTCGGTTCGCCTTATGACATCCAGGGCAGCATTTCGGCTGAACTACTAGCAGCTGTCTTTCAGATGCGCCACGTGATTGTGGTTTCAATATAATGAGTCCCGAGATGAGACAAACAGTCCTCGATGGACATAACGGCCGAAGGTTTGTGAGTTTGGAACTGCATCACCGTCTGGTTCGTTCGCTCCAATCTGTATCACTGAATAGGCTCCCAAAACATCAGTGCTGTTTCCCACAAGGTGATCAACAGCTGATTTTTAAATGCACGAGTCGCGATTGAGTTCAAAGGCAAACTCCGGATTAGCCCGACTTGTAGGAAGGATACCGCGAGAATAAGGGTCCTACCTACCTAGATCACTCCAGCTTCGCCGCAAAAGTTGCGCGGTTAGGGCGCTAATCCTTACGGGCCTGCAACCATCGACCCCGTTGCAACGCTTCCCACCCACCTCGATATCGGCGTGCTCTCTCGAACGGCGTGATCTTTGTCTTTTTGACCGCCCTGCCTCGCCATCGTTCCACATCCGACCTTTTTGAAGGTTAAGGCCTTAATTTCAGCGATCCCAAAGCTTTCCTCTTCCACTTTCAGGCCGTCCCGCAGCTCAGTCATCATTACGAAGCGCTCTTATCACCGGTTTATCCCGCGGCTTGCCTTTAGTGAGTTATTCTGCTCAGAAGCGGAGAAGGAATCAGCGCACCTGCACGCACTTTCGAGTCGCAACAATGCAACGACGTCTTGCGTGGGAGCCTGCTCAGGCACGTATAAAACCCTTCCGAAAATCTAACTGCAGCCCGTGCTTTTGAATGTTTTTACGAAGTATTGGATGCTATATGTGTATTTGCAATTGCAGGAGTTTACTTGCTAGGGGACAAGTCAAGAAGAATAAGTATTGTACAAAAACATTTCCACCTGCAGCGAACATGCTCAGAATGGTAAGCGCTGATTTTGTTTTCATACAGATCGATTCAGAACGTTCACAACTTTTGAAGACGTACGACTGTGCACTGGAAAAAAAAGCATATCACCTGGAACTATGCAAGAAAATTCCAACCTAGAAGAGTCATTCCGCCTTAGAGCGAGGAATTTCTGATTACGTTAATAACGCCTTATTGCGTCACAGACCAGTAAAGTCTCCAACAGATGCACTATTAGAAGTAAGTCATAGACTGCTCTGACCCCGGCTTAGATGATTTCTTGATTTGTGTGCTTGAACACGTGTTTTCAAGGCTATGCGCTACTGGTGGTCTACTCACTTGTATCACCATGGACTCCATGGACTTGTTGTTCGTCGCAGTGATTACCCAGCGCTGCCATTCCTTATGTGGTTCGTTGGTTTTTTCATAATTCACCACCTTCCATAGGTTGTCCAGGGTTGCCCCGAAGCTGATTCGGTTGTGCAAAAAAATCAAAATTACCCTAATTTCCGGTGTATAAGCCCGCGCCGATTTCGCGTAAATGCACCTCCGCTCGCGCAGTGTATTTGCGTACCGTTGGGGACTACCGTGATCGCACGCCTGCTTTTATGGTGCAGTTACTATTCGGCCCATAATTTCACTTTTTGTAAATCGTTTCTTCTCTCTGTTGTCCGTCTGTCTGTCTGTATGTGTGTCTGTCTGTCACGAAATTGAGTGCTAGAGAGTCCGAAAACACAGACAAGGGCTAACGAGAAGGAGCAAGTCAAATAATCGTGGTGGTCAGGGCCGAATTTGCATATTTCGGTCAGGTTGCGCGCGCACCCTGTAGATGATGGATGCTGAAAGTGTTTGTATTTCAGCAATATTGGTGCCCCACTATTTGCAGCGCATTTCTAGTTGTGTCTAGAAATCTCATTTTTGTACCAATATAATTTTTTCTACTTCTCCAAGCCATTGGATATCCCATACTCAGAAGTCGATTTCGGACAAGTTTTTCTTGTTCTAGCTTAACTTAGGCGGAAAGAGCGTAAGCTGGTCACAGTATCAGCGAAGCGTTAGGTATTGGATCCACAATAAGCGCACCTTGAAGTATTGGACCCACAATAAGTGTACCTTGAAGAACCGTGTTCAAAAGGTTTTTATAGCGATAGCAAAAACCTCGAAGACGGTGAGCGTGGCGGTTGAGTATCGGACGTTGGCAAAGATTCGTTGAAGGATTTGATCAGATTTGATCAACTGTGCACAAAACCGTTGACGAGCGCGCATTTAAATTGATCGTATTAGGACTGTGATTTATAAGTATACGGTAGAGGCCGTATAGCCCGAGTGAATAAGTGTATGCCCGCGAAAAGGTTATTTTACATCTAAACCACTCACAAAAGGGGGGGGTCTTTCAGGGCAAGCCACGCTTTTTCAAAACGGTTTTTGCATATTGTAGGGACGCATGTAGGGAACACAAAACCATGTTTCATTTTCGCTGAACGGTTATAGCAGTACCAAAAAAGAAGCATAAGGTACTGTTAAGGGTTCGATCCCCCGTGGCGACTAAATTTTGCATTTGGGTTGGCGCCTACGGTTTGGTGCCAAATCGCGCTAAATATCAAAATCAGATGTCAAATTCATCGTCAGGACCATTTTGAAGCCAACAAGTGGCCGCCAACCTTGATTGCAAAATTTAGTCGCCGCGAACCATCAAGGGTATCATTCACCACTTTTTTGATACTACTAAAACCGTTCAGCGAAAACGAAACATGGTTTTGTGGTCCATGCGTCCCTACAATACGCAAGAAACCGTTTCCAGAACGCGCAGCTCGCCTGAAAGACCACCCTTTCAGTAATCAGCAAAATTTCAAAAGCATGAGGAGGATTCCAAGCAACTGCGAATAAGATGATAAGGTGCAAAGAATGTAGGCGTACCAAAATCATATTCGCTTTGCTTTGAAGGCACAACCCAGGCAGAGGTCGTGTGAACGCTTCTTTTCGGTCTGTAGTATAGACCCCTAGAGGACAATCACAAATGTGGCGTTCTCGTGCACGGAAACCAACCGATAAGAGCGCTTGGGCCTTGCAAAGTAAGCTGCCCAAGCTGCAGACTTTTTTCTTATCAGGCTGTTGTCTGGCGCTCTCTCATCTGTAGCGCTCTCTCGTTCCCCGAGTGCTCTGCTGTGCCGCGCTGTAGTCGTGCTCAAGGTTCCCTTAGCACCTATTTCCGATTAGCAGGGAGTTGGCCCTATAGCCTTGACGATCTTTTTCTTTTTCTCTACTGCCGCCCACTTCGCCATACATCGCACATTCGTGTACGATAAGCCATCACCAATGTGATCCTGGGCATTGCCTCAAGCACTTTCAACAGCCTACCTCAGTTAGAGTTTTTATGTTTTTGAATAGTGAATTAAATCTCTAACTTCGTGCCCGCAGGTTGATGTTTGCCACTGAGCGGGCAAAGCGTTCTGTGATTTGAACTTGCTGGGTGATTATTCTAAGTGTCGCGGAAAAAACAAGTACGTTACCAGTCGTACTCAATCCATCGACATAAAATCTTTTTAAGATTCTCTATTTTGTGTTACGGAAGTTGAATGGAAAATTCATTTTGAGAGGATCACCAAGTGCAAAACGTGCCTATTGTGTTTTACTAACTGTTCAGCTCAATACCTGTTTCAGATGGCCAATGCAAAAACGCCAGGAGTTGGCTGCGCTGTGGATTTATGTCACTATGATAATGACAAGGGCCTTAACGCTAGACACAAATACTATGCGGTTGTATGCTTGTACACGAAACCGTGAGTTGATCAATTTTTATGGGAATAGGAGCCCAAATCTCTACGACTCTTTTTAGGCACGTCAAGCTGTGCAAACCGTTCTATGAAAAAGGTCGCCCATGCTCGCATTGTCCATGTGGTACTAGATGCCAGAAAAGCACGAAGCTTTGTAAGAAAATATGGACTTAAGAGATGTTGTGAACGAAGAGAAAGAAATAGAAAAAGAAATTTATCAAAATTATGAACGCCGACAAACAACCATAATAAATTCATCTGTCTATGATGAAAGACGTTCTTCGTTTGTTGCAACCCATCACAGTAAAAAGTACGTGAATGTAAGCACATTTCCTCTGACTCCATCATCTGACATGCTGAGGAGGGAATACAGTGGTGAGCTGAGCTGGTGGTAGACGTAAAGTGATTCGTGCCTATCGCCGGCAGAATATGGATGAAATTTCAAAGCCGCCAACGGCACTCTTGGCCAGAGAAATGACGTGAAGAAAATGGATGAGTCGGTAAGACCTCGCATTTGAGGAGTCGTCGAAACAACCCTTCCCCCCCCCCCTCGTCGTCGTTGGGGCGCGCTCAGGATTACGGTATCTGAGCAACTCTGTCAGCCGTACCTGACACGGAGGACATAATCAGATGTTCGCCAAACTCGGCGATTGTGCCGAGCAGTAGGCGATCACGAACGCCCATCGCTCGGCACAATCGCCGAGTCTGACGAACATCTTAAGGCGAGGTCACCAGCCAGCGGACAGTCGCCGGCCATCGTCAGCCTTCACCTAATCCCTCTTTCCCTCTCTCCCTTATCTCCTGTATTCATACTAAGTAATAAATATGTATAGCCAAACGTTGTTATGTATTCCCCCCAAAAAAATACCGCTACACACCTTCAGGTAAGGGGCAGACCAACCTCTAACCTGATAGTACCCCCCCCCTTTTTTTCCCTGAACCGTATCCTCCGCACATCCTTAATTTCAGGTCAAAATGCTAGTTTTAGATGCACAAGGAGGTAGAAGTGTGCTAAGGAGGCCACAGGATCATCCGATAAGAACAGCGATGGACTTCGAAGTGCAAGGCAAGCGACCGCGAGGAGCCCCAAAGAAGAGGTGGAGAGACGTGATCAAGAAGGACCTAAGTGAAGTCATGGCCACAGCAGAAGATGCCCTGGACAGAGCAAAGTGGCGACGACTGACAAAGACAGCGGACCCTGCGACTGCGCGGGACTAACGCTAGGGAGAAGAAGAGTTTACCCATTGGCATTGAAACTTAAAGTCTTCAGAATGGAGAAAAAGTTTCTAATGGTCTTGAGTTACGTCAGCCAGGAATTTAGCCGCGACTGAATTTCAGCCTCAGCTGAGGACAACCTTTCCATCACTTCAGAAACTGCAATAACACTAAACAAATCAAATACAGTATAACACAAGAGGCACCAAAATTTATTCCAAAAGAATTCGAAAGTTAGAAATAAAAAATCTCATAAAATTCAAATAGTCAAAAACATAGGATAGGAAAATAGAATCCTTTGAAATCTTCCACGACTTCGGTGTATACACCTTTCTCCAGGCTGAAATAAATTGTTTAGCCATGAATGATACTTCGATTTGTGATTCTGGGCTCATGCTCTACACCTATATTGATACCCACATGTTTTTGCCACAGCCAATTATAAAGCTGCCCACACGGGAGCCGCGCCATTGGAGTGAAAAGAAATGACTCACCGCTCACCCCTGCTTAAATACTTGAGAAAAATACTGTAAATTATTTTTATATTAGAAGTTATCCGTCAACCGCCGGGACCTTCCTTTCCTGCGCAAGCTTTCTATCCTCCGCTATGGTCCCTTCCTCCTGTGACACCAACACCTGGAAGTGACGCGTATGCAACACAATGGTGTTTCATACAGTAGAAGGGACACAATCATGATATGACGGTAGATTTTTCGCTTCCCTTCCTCATCCTCCCTTCCTCTCTCCACTGCCCTCCAGCTGCCACTGCAGCACCATGTGGAATGAACGGAAGTGTGCTAAGCAGGTGTTTATATAGCCCTAAGAGTGTTATCACAACTATCCTGCTACAAAACATTGATATCTCAAATCCTGTAAGCTACCCGATTTGTTAGCGGTTTGTTTATCCCATGAGCTTCCTTCTCACTCACTTCATTTTGCGGACGGACACACATACATACATACACACACACATACAGATACACAAACCGACACACAAAGTTAGCGCTTTATAAAATAGAAGGATTAAATGAAGTCCAAGCTTATTCGTCGACTCACTATTCAAGAAGGGGGTGAGTGGTAAGTCATTTTCTTTATCACTCAGCACGCGGCGGCCATCCAGTTGGGCAGCTTTTATACATTGCTTGTGTATACCTGTGTGTGATCAATTACACCCAGGGGTGCCACCAAAACAAAGAGACCATTTCTCAGGCCCTATGGCCGCACATCTATCGAACATTTTGTCCCGCACGGGCACCCCGCTCCGTTCACACAAATGAGAGTTCTTGCGGAATCTGTTCCTAAATGTTTCACGTAAGCAAGTAGGCACTTTTTCCTGGCTCCACCGTTTCAAAATAATGAAACGTCATCTACTGTCGCCCCACCGTGAGGCTCACGGCTTGTTGTATCGCTCCGTCTGGCTGTACAATGGATTTTCTTCATTGATTAGATGGTGAATTTACTTCTAGGAAACTCGCTGTTTACTGTGCAACCGTTTCCGGTTTCGGGGAGGTCGTAATGGTCTATGGTACCTTCGACGACCTCGTTGAGCTCGTACCGTGAACCATGTTTCCGTGGGAAAATCTTCTGATGTAGTCGGTGCAGAAGGCTGTCACGTAACATTTAGATAGATTAGAGTGTGCTCTTTAATACTAAGTTGGGTTCAGTCGATTTGATTCTAGCAAAGTGTGATTAATGCTGGCTGAACTTTGAAGTGAAGTGTCTCTTTTTTTTGGCCACCCCTGTAGGTGTAGGAAACCACCAAATTATACCAACTGTAATCAATGTATTTCAGGCCTGAAGAAGGTGTTATACACCGAAATATCGCGGAAGATTTCAAAGGAATTCTTTTTCAAACTTTTTGTTTTTTGGAACTTTTTTTGGAGTTTTTGAATTTTGTGAACTTTTGGAATTCTTTTGAAATAAATTTTGGTGCCTCTCTGTGTTATACAATATTTAGGTCCTGATGAGGCTCCGGGACAGCACAATATTGAGAAATTAATTACAGAAAAAAGCGCTGATCAAAGTGTGTCAGGTATCCTGGGCTGTTCTCAAAAATCACTTTATTTCGAGCAGGCAGAGTTAAATTTCTCGGACCATTTCTCGCCCTGTCCTGGGCTAATCCCCATAAAAGTGCACTAACCTTGTGGACAAAGGCGATGCATCACGAAGCGTTTTCTTTGTAAAATCGCTGAACATCTGCCACATAAACTCAAAACTTGTTGAAGTTGTTGTTGGTTCAATGTGAAATGGGTGAAGGTAGCCTGTCTAGTCCAGCATCGAGGATTAGCGCTCCAAAATCAGAGCCTGTGGTCGAAAAATCTATGGGGAATTCTCGTAAACAATAAGTGTATGCAATAAAGTGAGTACGAATACAAAAGTGCATTACGGAGCTAGAGAAAAAGATCGATTCGCAAGTGGTGAAACATCAGTGCAGTTGAACGATTCTTCAATAGTTAGGGACCTTTTTGTACGAATGATTTGGAAGGAATAGGCAGTCGTCTTGTTCAGCAGCTTCGTGCAGCCACGACCTCGGTAAAAGGAGATGCCATTTTGCAGTGCCTTCTGTAGCTATTACCTTCATATTATTAAGTACCAGTTTGGCTGCGCACGCATTCGCGTGCATCACACGGGGGTTCAAACAGGATGATCACTGTTCTTTTCTAGATTTTAGTTTTCTTTCGGTACATCCCATTTACAC